GAGAGATTGTAAGATGATAACAAAGAGTCTAAATTTAGTTTCCTATTACTGTCGATGAGATAGTTTATATTTATATCACCACAAATTATAAATTCAACTTTTGAACTATGCAGTACATTTAGGATGGTTTCTAATCTATTTATAAAGTGATTGAAGTTTCCAGATGGGGCTCTATATAAAGTCAGTATACAAATATTAGAAAAAGGAGAGTCTAACTTTAGAGCACATGCTTCCAGATCCTGGTCTTTGCAATAATCTTCTAAATTTATTCTAGTAAATTTTAGGTTTTCATGTACAAAAATACTCACTCCTCCTTTCTCCAGTGTTTTCCTACAGTATCTAGCACCTAAATTATAATTTCCTAAGTGAAGATGTTCTAATTCCAGCTGTTTCATGTGATGTTCAGTAAGGCACAGTATGTGTGGAAGATTTGAATTCATGGAGCTTATTAGTTCATTTGTTTTGTTTCTCAATCATCTTATATTCTGATGGAATATTCTTAGTACTTTATTATTCATTGAGTTTAGTAGACTGCAATTACCTTTTCCGATTTCTATTGGTTCACTTACATTATTGTCTGAAACATTAGTTATGCTGCTGCACTCAGAAACTATCAAAATGACATGCTTTTTCTTGATTGGTGTGTCAAGAGGGTGGTAGCAGTGCTCAGTACCTTTTATGACCATAGATTTCAAGCAGTACAACAAAGAGTGACAGGTGACACAACAGAAGACGTGATGAAGCCCCTTCTTATCTGAGACTACACACAAACACACACAAATACCAGTGCTGTAGACATGCCTGATCATGACACAATCAACTTCAATGAGAAGAAATGTGCAGGAGATAGCTGTGGTGAAGAGTACATAAATACCAAGACCAATGAGACATGCAAAACACCTTGCACTTCATTACAGTAAACATCTCAATTGTTGTATTATAATGGCCATACAGTGTCAGAATATGATAAGTGAGTGATTTTAAGAATAAGGTGAGAAATGTGCATATGTATCTCATCTTCTCAAGTGCAGTGAAAAGTAGTGAAATGTATTATGAACAGCAATTATTTAATTTCAATTACCTTGCAGTGACAAGTCCAGGAAGTCTCGTACATTGTGCTGAACAGCATTTCGCAACTCCTTGAAGGTTCTGAATTGAGATGGTACACTGCACATGTCAGATGAAGAAGTTGCAAAAACGGTGTAATATTCAGCAAAATGTGCAGCAGTTGGGAGGACCAGACTCCAGTGCAGAAACTGCATTATCATGAACTCAAGAGAGATGAAATCCGTTATTGGGTACTGGTTGCCCACACGTGAATTCAGCTCTGATATTTTTGGTACATTTGCATCTCGTTCCTCAAATTTTGCTGGGGGGAAAAGACAAAAAATAGATCAAATGAACAGTAAAAAATCAAGTAAAAGTTACACAAAATAAGAACCACATCAATATAAATATTTCTATAATGCTGGTATGTAATACTGCAATTTTAAAAATTCCTTCATATGTCTTGAATTCAGATGCTTGAAAGCTTTTGTGATGTCTCAGATATCTCGCTTTATCCATCAAATTTCAATCTAGTATAATGTTCTTCCAGACATATAACAGAGAACAAAGAACTTGTTCCTAATTTACAAGAAGCACAATATATAACATGATGGTGCAATTGTTATTATTATGACATGTTTATAGACTTGGTTTCTACAATAATGGATCAACCAGTGCCATCCACTATGACCGACTGCTTCTTATAGTATTTAACCCTTTTGTCCTCCTAATGTAGTACAGCATGGTAAAATTATAAGGGCTTCAACTGCAACATTTACAGAGTGCCAAATGAGATACAAAGATTATCTTCAATAGTGTGCAAGTAAGAATTTGGAAGGAGGTGATTTTGGCCTAATATCCTAGCATTCATCTGGAGAGATGGAGGAAAACACGTAGAACCTTCACTGCAGGCTATGCTTCATGTACACTTCATATAGATATAACATTTCATGAGAATTCTACCAACCTGTTCCTTTGTAAATACTGGCATGAAAGAAATTAAATTTCCTTTTGATAAACTGGTAGTATACTATTTATTTTTTAGGCTACTAAATAAAGCCACTTAATGGCATTACGTTTCACTATAAGCAGTGCGATTCATGCATGAAAATTTATGATTTGTTAGCAGTGGGTGGCAGTTATCAGCTCCATTAGCCATTTGTTCTCAGTCACAATTAGTGAGCAGTGTTCCGTCATAGTGTGATAGACTTTAAAGCAGCATGTATTTCTGTATGACACCTATGTGAAATATGGACATGCTAGAAAGTGTTGGCAAAAATTGTTAAAACCACTGAAACATCTAGCTCAAGAGACTGGAGTGTCAAAGTCTAGTGCACGAACGACAACACAACTGTTGAAGCTTAGACCCTACAAAACAACACCAGTCCATGCCTTGTAGCCACACGATCTAGCTAGTAGAGTTCATTTTTGCAGCTGGTTTCTACAGTCTGTGGTTTTAGATGAAACAGGGTTTCACTTGCAGCGATACATAAATACAAAAAATAATTGCTACTGGAGTTCACAGAATCCACATCTAACCCACGAAGTCCTGCTCAGTCCAGTGAAAGTTGGTGTCTTGTGTGCTGTAAGTGCAAAAAAGGCTTGTTGGACCTGGATTTTAATGAAACAGATAATTTTGAAAGATATGTACAAGTTGTTCTTCGGCATTTCTTTCCAGAGTTTCAGCAAGACTCAGCTACTGCCCACACTGCACGCATGTCTATGCAGGCTTTGATGTCTCCAGGAACAGAGTAATGAGCAGTGTTGTTTGGCCAGCACATTCACCCAATCTTGATCCTCGTGATTTTTCTTCTGGGGTTGTTTGAAGGACAAAGTTCATAACAGATACATTGGAATGGAAGAACTAAAAAAAAAACGTTTGTAAGGAAACTGCAAATATATCCCAAGAATATATATTCTTGCAAAACAGTTGAAAGGGTAAATCAGAACCTTTTCTGCTGGTACACGTAATGTCTATGTGTGGAAGGACGGCATTTTCTGTACCTCCTGCAATCTATGAAATGTAACTACCTCAATCTGAATGTTACTGGTCAACGGACATATTGATTCATCGGCAAAATACTTATGTACCTCGCAGCCTTCAGTGCATCAGTTGCCATGAACCAAACAGCTGTGACCCAGTCAACAAAGTTAAGAACCTCCCTATATATGGAATTAACCAAGGGTGGTCTTGCTGAAGTACAAAGACCTAATCCCAGTTCCTCTGAAATTTAAATTGTTTTGAAAAGTTGGAAAGTTACAAATTGCCTGGTACTATCAAATTCTGGCTGAACTGATCCAAGGAGGAAGTACAATGTTATATTTGAAGGCCCATAGTGTTAGTCAGGATAGCAGTCGGTATAACGACTGACTACAGGCTGGATGCATGCGGTTCGGAGTTCGAGTCCCTTCAGGGGTAAGAATTTTCTCTTCTTCACGTCATCCAGACTGGTTCTGGGGCCCACCCAGCCTCTTATCCAATGGGTACCAGGGGCTCTTTCCCGGGGGTAAAGTGGCAAGAGTGTGAAGTTGACCACTCACCTCCAGCTACTGCCAAGGAAAAGAAAAATGTGGATCTATACATCAACACCCCAATACACCTTCAAGGTGTAGTGCTTAATTAGTTAAGCACAGGGACAACTTTGCCAATCAAGTAAAGCTGTATAAGTAAATTCTTCACACTCAAAGTACTTCGAAATCCTGTTAAAATACTCGTACAGCTTATTAAGGAGTAAAATTTCATAAAAGGTTAAGCCATAAAAGACAATTTAAAATTAATTATTCTGAGCAGGGGATTTCTCAGATCAACTGATCATCTGGACAAGTCAGTCATGGTGGAACACAGCAGCATTATGAGGCACCACATCCGGCTCCGTAACACCATCATCCTTTCCATTGAACCCCAATATCTTTAGGGAGGTGACTGAGGTCAAGCTCCATTCCAATAATATGAACAGGGAGATAGCTTCTGCTTCAGCAAGTCATGGAAACCTCTCATCTCCTCCCTGAAAGATCATAGGAAGCCTTTCTTACAGGACACCCTAGTTGGCTTCTCCAATGGGTCATGCAGGTCCATGCATAATAACCTTAACAGAGCTTCAAAAATGCACTATCTGGAAACCAATAAACCCCAAGCCTTTCCTTTCTCTCCCGGCCTTCGCCCCATGGCTTTGCTCTTATCCCCAACTTCATGCCTACAACCCACACATAACTTCTCTCCTACTTTCCCTGCTACTCCACTCACGACATACACCTATGAATTTTCTCCTGTGTTCCCACAGCTGCACAATTGGATCTTGAAAGGGCCAAACATATTCACTGTTCTCCTGTCTCCTACTGATTCGCCCTGGTCATCTGTTAAGAGTCAATGGGAACTGATGGGCTGGCTTCTGAGGTTCCTTCTCCGTCCATATAATTCCATGTTTTCACAGTTCATGTCCTTTGCTTACTGCCTGCTTCATACTAGTTTTATTTGCCTCGCTCATTCTTCAATCCTAACGAGGGAGGTAACATGTTCCTCTGGAATGTCAGTTGACTTTTAAAAGAATACAAGGTGTTCTATCCCAGAAGATATAATTCTTCACATCCTACTTCATTTCACTGATCATTTTCTAGCTGACAGTAATTCCCATTCCTGATACAAGTTACAAGGTCAATGTAGGTATCTTTTTAACATGCACTGTTGACATTCCTTATCATCATTTGTTCCACCTAAATATTCTGTTATAATAACTGAAATCTGATATGTTTCATTCAATGACAATGCACACTGAGTGCTGATTCACAGCATGCCAACTCTTATGAACAGTGGTTACTTACCATACCTTGCAACTAATTCTCTACTTAAAATACAGTAGAACTTGGTTATAATGTCATCAAAGGGACCTAAAAATAGTGTCGTTATAAACGAATGTCATTGTAACCGAAATGGGCACTTCCACAGTAGCCTTATGTTAGTCATGTAAAAATCTACCAAAAACCGAGTTAAAATGTTGCATTTTTTAGTGACATACGTAGTTAAGTACAGACTAACGTAACATTAACGTGGAATTGCCCAAATGTGTAATATGAAAGGCATATTACAGCGCTTTTCACTGACAATACACACCGCACTAATACTGTATATTAAAGGTAGGCCTACTCACCAAATTACAGTAGATTACATCAACTGTTGTGCCTTACTGTACCTAGATACGAGTACAGTAATCAGTTATCTTCATCTGTTTCATGTTACTTGCCCAATACACACTTTCTTAATTACGTTCAATGTCCATATCAGAGAAACTGAGGAATGAAAATGACGTTACATACGAGGTTGATGCATTTGTGCATGTCGTACTAAGCAAGGTATAAAAACAGTTGCTTTATGAGGAATTAGTTCGTACCATTGAATATTTGACGCAATAGACAAGGTGTCGCAGAAACCGATGTTGCTATAACCAAGTTTTACTGTATTGTGACATGTGAAACCATTGTTGGGCAATGGAATATGGAACGAGGTTATGCAACACTAATGAAAGTGGTGTTTGTCCATGCCATGTCATGCTGAGCCAAGCCGAGGCACACTGGTTGCTATGCAGCATTGCCCAGCAACACCTCTGTAAACATGGCGATTACACAACAGTGAATAGAGGCGAGTTTTCCACTGCCCGACTGAGGGTTTATAAGAGTAACTGGAATGCCTAAGGAGTTCAGTTGTATCAAGTGAATTGTGAAGAATTTATAAGTTCAGCTGAACTATAGCAGCAGTCACGGGAAGAAGAACCGAACGCATGATAAAAGATTTCCCAAGTGTACTCTTCTACTTTCATCATGAGCCTTACATTTGAGTACATATGGAAATATAAAACATTTACTCCTTCAGCTGTAGAGAAATAAATGTTATGGACACAAAGAGTTCTGATTTAGTAAGAACTAATTGCATACACACACCTGCCAACAAAATACACACAAGAGCCACCAGACCCAGGCGTTCTTCAACAATCCTATGATTGTCCATGAAAATGTCAAGTAGATACACAGCAAGATGGACTGAAGTATTGCTTAAATTAAGCTCTTCTGCAACTGCACGCATCCAGGTCACCAGAACATGTCGATATTTTAACTGTAACAATTAAGGTACATTTCCTTTTAGCACTCTAAAGTCCAACATATGTTAACATATGACACCATTTTACATTCCATTTACTGTTTCTATTGCAAAATGTTTAGACCCTCATTTTTTTTTTGAGAATTTAACAGAAAATTAAATTCCAGTACAACAAAATCTCCATTACCCAGAAAAACTCTTACAGAAACCCCGTACAAAGACAAAGCAATGTGTTTTCCCTTTATACTTTGCATAGCAATCTTCTTATGAGACACAGCAATTGATGGATAAAAGGTTTCTGATATACAGGGTGATTCACGAAGTTTTACCCTCACTTAGGGAGGGCATTCCTGCGGTAATTTTGAACAAAAATGTTAATGGTCTCTGACTCATAATTAAAGAGATACAGCAATTTGAAAACTGGCGAAAAATCTTTTTTCCTTCGATTTTCAGTCAAAACGAATTAGAAATACAATACAAACACTTTTTAAATCGTTAAGGTTTTAGGAAAGAAGCATTCTAAAACCATTTTTTTTTTCAATTTCTTAATTTTGCTTTGTGCAACATTTTTCATCGATTTTATGTTACAAAATTACATTATTTTCAGCATCCCATTCTGCAAACATACCAATGGTTGCATATCACACCCTTCTATCAATCTGTTTCCTTTAAACTGTAGTGCTTTAGATGATAACTGGATTTACATAAGATTTTCAAAAATTTCTCCTTGCACATCAACACAACGCGTTGCAAGCGTATGAACCACGCTCGTAGCATTTCGCAGTTCCACATGTTTCTTCCTTATTGTCATCGCCGCATCCAGTATACGTTCCAGCAATGCTTCACGTGTTTGTACCTTTACCTGGTGTACAATGTCCTTCATCCAGCCCCAAATGCAATAAAATGAAGGGCCTGATTAGCTGATCATACAGAACACCACACCAGACATTGACACTGAATCGGTGTTGAAAATTCGATTCTATCGTGGCACGGGGATTATTGTCTGCCCAAACATGTACGAGTAAGTTGTGACTGTTGCTGACCCTGTCACGTGTAAATTGTGCCCCATCACAGAACATTATCAAGCGGTACAACTGCCGATTTCCATTTAACCAGTTGCAGAACTGCAGACGAAGAGCACGGTCTCCTGGTTGTAGGTGTTGTACTTGTTGTAAATGATAAGGATGCAGCCAGTTCTCATGAAGAGTCCTCCATGCCATGGACGAGAAACACCAAACCGCCAAGCTAGGCGTCTTGTACTGGCACGAGGAATGCGCTCTACAGCATCGAGAATGTTTTCTTCTTCGCACAATTCATGTTGAGGATTTCGTGCGTATTGTATACAAATACTGGAGAGAGAATCAGTTTGTCTTAATGTGCTGAATGTACTGCTAATGGATTTAGTATTTGGAATACTGTGAAGAGGATATCGCCGGTGATATTCGGCAGCAGCGGCTCTCGCATTTCCATCACATACACCCAAAACAAACACCATATTGGCGTATTCCTCAGTGGAAAATGTGTACGGCATCTTAACTTCACACAGTCACCAACCCAACGTCCTCTTCACTACTGGATCGCTTTGTCTAGGATCGCGCAACATTCCAGCCGGTCAGATTATCTGCTGACACAGCTGACTGGAACACAAGGTCGCCCAGGGGGGAAGCATAGCGCTGCATTCACATTCATGCGTTTTGAAAATCTATTGTTAACTCCATAACTACTGAAAATCAACCAAAAGTCTGTAAGGAAATTTTGCAGGAAATAACCCCAGGAATATATACCAATAGCCGGGGTAAAACTTCGTGAATCACCCTGTATAAGCTGTAATGCCATCACAAATTTCACTAGTATTGACAGTAATGACACCTGCATCATGGGGTGTGTGAACATATGCCCATTGCAAATTTGTTTTTGAATAATTTTACGAAAATGGTAAAATTTCTTTGAAAGTTTTGCCAGCTGGATGATAATCATAGATGCTTGGATACCAGGTAATTATTGGGAGTTTACTGTATGTTTAATGCTTTCTGCCATTATGCATGAAAGATGATATCAATAAAAAAACTGTATTACCAGAAACTAAAAACTGAAAGAAGATTTAAGCATGAGGAATATGTGGCAAACACCACATTTGATGTGGTTCAGTATGGACTCCTCTGTTACTAGCTCCATAAGATTTTCAATATAACCTTACAGCCACAAGACTACAACACATATGGTGAGTGTGCCCAGATTCTTTCAAGATTCGACCATGTCCTAACGCACAACCAAAAGCATTGAATAATAAATGATGTAAGCAAAGCCAATCAAGTAGGTTAACAAATACCCCTGAACAAATGAAGCTGAGACACTGCAATAAAAAGGAATATTGAAGCCTATGAAGGGAAAAGTATGTCGTTTCTCTGTATCAGCATCTGCTGAGTACAGTGGCCGTTTTCTAGCATTTTGACAGACTCCTTCCTGACAACACCCTTTTCAGTGTACATCATGTTCCATGTCATTTCAAACTTGTTAACTGACTAATCTGTTTACTGCAGACCTGCTTCATCCTTTCCTGCTCTCAGATTTCACTAAAAAATCATGATGAATCATGATAACACTAGCAGTCAGATAAAATCTTTTCTCTAAAGTTCATTCTGTTCTGTTGAGCATGCCAACTTGACCACTGTTGCTTCATGTTGTTTCCATGAGGGGCAGAATATTTTCTTGAGACCGCTAACAAACAGCAATGATGACAACAACAAAACCTGTATAGACGTCATTGAAAAAATGTCTAACTGCCGGCTCTTTCCCTGCCACCTAGCATACACTTAAGACAGAATATAGTCATCATGCGTAAATGAAAGGTATAATCTTAATGACATCCCATGGAAAGGAAAACACCCTTACAAGATGACACATGCTTTGTTCCCCATTAACAATCTCTGAATGACTGATACATTTTTTTTAAATGCCTCAGCATGTTTGGGTCATAGACTTTTACATGACAGCAACGTAAGTACCATGCAATACTGGTTGATTTTTAATTATAGACAACATTATGATGGAATCACAGGGGTCAAATGCTTATTGACTTTTGTGAAAGTAATGGACTGATTGTTACCAACACTTGGTTCAAGAAGCCAAAGAGAAGACTTTACACATTGAAGGCACCTGGGGATTGGAGGTGGCATCAGCTGGGCTACATCCTTGTGAAACATTGATTCAGAAACAGTGTGAAGGATGTGAAGATGCTGCCTGGGGCAGATATTGACTCTGACCACAACTTACTGGTTGCCAAGTTTCGAACCAGGTTGAAGATAATTATAAGATTCCAAAAGCGCAGACCTAGATGGGATTTGGAGAACTTATATGCTCAAAGACAAAGCGTGCAGGAGACCCTAGAAGAGAAACTCAGTGCAACTGAAAGTGAAAGCGGAAATGCTGAAGTGCAGTGGAACAATATAAAAGAATGCATGTTAGATACTATTAGTGAATTGGTTGGTAAAGTTGAGAAGATAGCAAGAACACCATGGGTTACACAGGAGATGATGAGTAAAATGGAGGAGCGAAGGAAATGGAAGAATTTAAACAATGAAGAAGGCAGGAGGAAATTCAGGGGACTGAGGAATGAACTGAAAAGAGCCACGGACAGGGCCAAAAAGGAATATCTTGAGAAGATATGTAATGAGATTATAGAATTTCAAAGGACAGGATGTTATGATTTGATGTACATGAAGACAAAAGAACTAGGATGGAAAGAGAACCATGGGATTCAAAATACTGGCATCCAAGACTCCCAGGGGAATAGAATAGTAGATCAGAGACAAGTGCTGAAAATTTGAGAAAATTATATTACAGAACTATATGATCGACCTAATCGGCCAGCAACCTTGGAAGTGGAACCGGAAGAAGTAGATACAGATGAAAAGGACCATATATTTTACAAAGTGAGGTGGAAAAAGCTATCAAGGACACAAGGAATGGAAAGCCTACAGGAGATGACGTACCTGGAGAGGTGCTCAAGTTACTGGGAGAAGGTGGTTTGAAAACACTGACAAAACTAATAAACACCATATATGAAACTGGAGAGTGGCCCAAGGACTTTACAGAAGTGACAATGATTGCCTTGAAGAAAAAGACAAAAGCTACAAAATGCAGCAACCATCGCACAATAAGCCTTATTGCATATACAGCAAAGATAATAGGAGAGATACTTAAAAGAAGAATTGAAAGGAAAATAGACGACATATTTGGAGAGGATCAGTTTGGATTTAGAAGAGGAAAAGGAACCAGGGATGCAATTGGGATGATGAGAATTATAGCAGAACGAACTTTGGAGATAGATGAAGAACTGTGTGCTTGCTTTATTGACTGGCAGAAGGCATTTGACCATGTAAATTGGACCAAATTAATGCAGATCCTAAAGGAAACAGGTATCGATTGGCAGGAAAGAAGACTAATTAGTAAATTGTACATGGATCAGAAAGTTAGAGTGTGACTGGACAGAAGGGAGACAAGAAGTGTGAAGGTTGGGAGAGGAGTTCAACAAGGATGCTGTTTATCACCAATTTTGTTCAACTTGTACAGCGAATGCCTTATCAAGGAAGCTCTGGATGGGCTTGGAGACTTCAAATTAGGAGGGCAAATTATTCAAACTGTGAAATATGCAGATGACCTTGTGTTAATGGCTAAGGAAGAAACTGTGCTACAGGGTATGATTGATAGACTAATTGAAATTGGAAGGTGCTATGGCATGGAAATGAATGTGGAAAAAACAAAAGTAATGAAAATTTCGAGAGAACCAACCCCAGTCACAATAATGATAGACCGAAAACAACTGGAGAATGTGAAATGTTTTAAATATTTGGGTAGCTTGTTAACAGATGATGGAAGGTGTACTTGTGAAATTAAATCTAGGATTGCCATGGCAAAAGCTACATTTAGTAAGAAGAGACTGTGGACCTGTCATCTGACAGATTACTGATGAATGAATGAATGACAACGTTATGTCACTATTCAGATTATGCAGC